TATTTTATGGTGTTGATTGATGCCTCTAGTAGATGGTCTCATGTGAGTTTGTTATCAACTCGAAATGTGGCATTTGCTAAATTACTCGCTCAACTTATCAAGTTAAGGGCTCAATTCCCAGATTATATTATCAAACGGGTCAGACTTGACAATGCTGGTGAGTTTACATCTCAAGCATTTAATGATTATTGTATGGCAGTGGGAATTGATGTTGAACACCCTGTGACACATGTTCATACTCAAAATGGTCTAGCAGAATCTTTAATTAAACGACTGCAGCTCATAGCTAGACCATTGATAATGAGAACAAAACTTCTTGCTTCATTATGGGGACATGCTATTCTGCATGCAGATGATCTAATTCGAATTAGAACAAGTGCATATCATAAATACTCGCCATTACAGTTGGCATACGGTCGAGAACCAATTATTGCACATATAAGAATTTTTGGTTGTGCAGTATATGTACCAATTGCTCCGCCCCAACGTACAAAAATGGGGCCTCAAAGAAGGTTGGGAATATATGTTGGATATGAATCTCCATCAATAATCAAATACCTTGAGCCGAAAACAGGTGATGTTTTTACAGTTCGGTTTGATGATTGTCATTTTACTGAAGAATTGTTTCCCCCCTTAGGTGGGAATGAAAAATCAATTGAGAGAAATATTGAATGGAGAACATCATCACTATCATATCTTGATCCTCCCACCAAACAAAGAGAGCAAGAAGTTCAAAAGATCATACATCTACAGAATATCGCAAATCAATTGTCAGATGCATTTACTGATTTAAAAAGGGTGACCAAATCACATGTGGCAGCTGTGAATGCCCCTACTCGAATTGAGATTCCAAAAGAAATGGCAAATGATGATGTGCCAAATGAGTCAAAGACACGCTTGAAACGAGGAAGACCAATTGGGTCTAAAGATAAGAATCCCCGAAAGAAAAGAGAAATTCGTGACCCGAATTTGGAAAAGAATCAAGATGATGAAAAAATTTCGGGGCAGAATGAAAATATTGAAATTTCCATTAATTACGTAAATAATGGGAATCTTTGGAAGCGTGATGAGATCACAAATATTGATGATGCATTTGCATATATGGTATCAAAAGAAATTGAAAATGAAGTTGAGGATCCTGAACCAAAACCTGTAACTGAATGTCAGAAAAGACATGATTGGGATAAATGGAAAGGCGCCATACAAGCCGCGTTAGATTCACTCAATAAACGAAAAGTTTTTGGGCCTATTTCCATTATACCAAAAGACATAAAACCTATTGGATACAAATGGATTTTCACTAGAAAGAGAAATGAGAAAAATGAGATCACGAGATATAAAGCTCGCCTTGTTGCACAGGGATTTTCCCAAAGGCCTGGGATCGATTATGATGAGACATATTCTCCTGTCATGGATGCAATTACTTTCAGATACTTGATGAGTTTAGCTGTCCATGAAAATCTTGAGATGCATCTCATGGATGTTGTAACTGCTTATTTGTATGGATCATTAGACACCGACATATATATGAAAATCCCAGAAGGAATCAGAATGCCCGAAGCACTAAACTCCAAACTTAGAGAGTTATGTGCGTTAAAGTTGCAAAGATCATTATATGGCTTGAAACAATCCGGGCGTATGTGCTATAATTGTTTGAGTGAACAATTACTAAAAAGGGGATACTTAAATGATCAAATATGTCCGTGTGTCTTTATAAAGAAATCACATAATGGAGTTGTGATAATAGCTGTATATGTTGATGACCTTAATATTATTGGGACAACAAATGAAATACAAGAAGCAGTTACCTTTTTGAAAGGCGAATATGAAATGAAAGATCTCGAAAAAACCAAATATTGTCTCGGTTTACAGATAGAGAGAGTACAAAATGGGATATTTGTCCATCAATCTAACTATACTAAAAGAGTATTGAAACGATTTAATATGGACAAAGCTAATCCCTTAGTACTCAGATGGTTAACCGAACATTGGATGTTGAAAAGGATCCATTTCGACCATGTGAAGAAAATGAAGAAGTACTTGGTCCTGAGGTACCATATATGAGTGCAATAGGGGCTCTTATGTATCTTGCTAATTGCACCAGACCAGATATATCTATTGCTACCAACTTATTAGCAAGATATAACTCGTCACCTACGAGGAGACACTGGAATGGAATCAAGCATATATTTCGTTATCTCCAAGGAACAATCGATCTGAGATTAATTTACTCAAATGATAAAAAACATGAAATGATCGGTTTTGCAGATGCAGGATATTTATCAGACCCACATAAGGCAAGATCTCAGACTGGCTACGTTTTCACAATTGGTGGAACTTCATTTTCTTGGCGCTCTCAGAAACAAACACTAGTTGCTACATCTTCAAACCATGCTGAAATCATTGCACTGCATGAAGCAACTAGGGAAAGCATCTAGCTCAGAAACATGACTCAACACATTCAACAAGCCAGTGGATTCTCGAATAATAAAGACCCGACGGTGATATTCGAAGACAATGCAACATGTGTCGCTCAGACCAAAGAAGGATACATCAAGAGTGACAGAATTAAACATATCCCACCAAAGTTCTTCTCATACACTCAAGAACTTGAAAGGAACAAACAAATCAAGGTTCAATACATCCGATCAAGTGATAACGCAGCAGATTTGTTTACAAAGGCGCTCCCAACTACAACGTTCTGAAAGCATGTCCATAACATTGGAATGAGACATCTCCGAGATTTACACAGATGATAACTCGAGGGGGAGCATGTGCGGCTGTACTCTTTTTCCCTTATCTCGGTTTTTTTCCCACAGGGTTTTTCCGGATAAGGTTTTTAATGAGGCAGCATAAACGCACATTGCATTGTGGTTATTCCAAGGGGGAGTGTTATAATATGTAGAAGTGGAATAAACCACTATGCACAAAATAATTTCACTCCATTATTTGATGTTATGGGAATAGTGAAATGGGGTATGGATATTAATAATTGATGTGAATTGTGTCGGAAGAGTTTTGCCTATAAAATGCACTCCTAGTGTAGAGAAAATTTGCACCATTAAAAGAAAGAAAGAAGAAAGAAATATTCAGTATAATTTCTATTCGGCTTCTATTTGGTGTTCTTTATATTTTCCGTTTTTATAACATATATTATATTTTTCATAAATATTGGAATATATATGAGTGCACAATTGTGTCTGCTAACAACAATCATCTATATTAGCCATTGACCAAATTGTAATTAATTAATTTTGGATTGAATTCGACGTTATTTCGTGGTCCACCAATCAATAATATAGGCTACATTTGGACGGGAAATCAACTTTCTAATTTGGGATGAATTCAATGTTATGTGTTGAAAATGTGTGCCGAAAGTAGCATTAGTGTTAAGATCATTTGTTGACCATAGACTTAGGCAGTACTGATCACCTACCCACGATGGACACATATTAATATGTTCACCGCTTATGTGGAATGCACACATTTGTGATGTATTTTTTTAACATATTAACATCAATGTATGCATGCCACATAAGCGGTGGATATATTAACATGTGCCCACCGTGGGTAGGTGATCATTACTGTAGACTTAGGTGCATATAAATTGCTATGTTCTATCTTAATGATCATACATATGTGCAAATTGCAATATATTGTGGACATATGAAAGAAAAAGAAAAAAAAGAAAAGAAGAATAATCATATGAAGCAAAATATGCAAGGAGAAATACGATAAATTTTAATTATTCCACATGAGAACATTGCACCATAAACAATACCTAAAACAGTGCAAAAAATGTAATGGCCAAGCCATCCTGTTTCGAACAGATTAAGCAGCTTTGAAGCTACATTACCAGAATTACATTCTTTATCAGATCATTCTAAATGACGATAAAATGCATTCACCAAATCTTCAAATTCGATTAATCGCGTCATGTCTTCTCCATTTTCTATTCAACCAACAGAAGATGAAACTACATCAAAAAGTGTTTGTTGTACATTGTTTATGACAAAATCCTGCAGTTACCAAAACTCACAGGCTCAAGTTGACAACTGAAAAAAAAAAAAGTAGAAATCGGTTAAAAAGGGGGATCTTGAAGTTCGTTTTAAGTAAACTTTGTTGTTCAAGTTTTCAAACACTCGGCGCATTTACATTTGTTGAACAAATAGTACATGAAACTTCACGAAGGTGTTTTTGTAAGTTCGGAACGCAATTGAGGGGTTTTTCAGTAATGAAACAAACCACACGGGAAGGTGTTTTTATAAGTTCGAAAGGCAATTGAGGGGTTTATTTTAGTAATGAAACAAACCACACGGGTAGTTATTCGAAGGTTAAATTGCAAATTTGATCCTATTAAATTATGAAGGTAGCAATTTAGGCCCCACTAGAGTGACATATACCATTTTAAATCATGTAATTTAAAATTTAACTGCAATTTGACCGTCAAAATGACTGAAACTACAACAAAATCAGCATAGTTTGAGAGGTTAAAATAATTTTACCCATAATCTTGTAAACTAATAAAAAAGCTATAAGCTAACTCATATATTTGCCAAACACAGAATTGTATTCACCTCTAGTGGGGGTTTATAGTTTGTTTGGTTAACTTGTAGGAATTGTATTCACCTACAGTCAGGGTTTTTAGTTTGTTTGTTTGGTAGATGAGTTGACATAAGCAATCTCTAGACTCCTGTCCATTAGTTGTGAGAGCTCCTTCCTAGATTCAACTAGACGTCTACTTGACTTATTCTAATTGTTTTTTAATTGTAATTATGTATTTCTATTTTATAAAAATATCGTTTCGAAAACAAAAAATGACAAAACACAAATCCACAAATACCATTGATGGATAAAACACTGAAGAAACATTTAAACGAGTCTCAACGAGAAAAACCGCAGTTTTGACAAAAAGCAAATAAGCAATAAATCGCAATACGCAAAGCTATATTGTTTGTTCTACAATAGCAAAAATGGTCGCTCAACCGTCAAAAGCAAGTCTATTTCTTCTTCTCTCCACCACCAGCAGCCCTGCATTTGGAAAAAAATAAACCAATGAGTCCGAATTAACATAATAACCAAGGCTAAGAAAATTCGATTATGCTACTGCATTTGACTTCAGAAAATAAATATTTGGGCTCACTGAAAAAATAACCTTAATCCCTAGTCAAATATGAAAAAAAAAAATAACTTTTACATGCCACCAGGAATTAACAAAATAAGGACATTTTAGGAATTGGTCTGAAGTAGGTGAATATAATTAAACTAAACCTCACAAGAGCAGAAAGAATATTCATACGGCTGTAAATAGTAACGACTGGTTACCTCATCTTTCTGAGAGCAGATGCCATCTCCTCACGCTTCTTCTTAGCCCTCTTGTGGGTCCCCAACTTTCTCTTTGCCACCTTCAGCGCACGTTTGTCTTTCCCAACTTTGAGAAGCTCAGTGATTCTCTTCTCATATGGAGCAAATCCAGCAACCTCCCTGATGAGACTTCTAGCGAAGTGTACTCGTTTACTGGTTTTCTGAGGATAACAAAAAAAAAAAAATGAGTCATAAATGAAAAAGAAAAAAAAAAGATCTTAAAATTTTGACAACTATTAGCTGTCTCTTGAAATATAATGCATTGCCTCAAAACTGAAGACAATTATTATTGTACAGCAAAAACTAATACTAAAAAAACTTTTTAAGGTAAACTCAAACGGGTTTTCTTACCCCTTTTCTGTCAGAAGGGCGGGGTGCAAGCTCTTTCCTTGTCGTTATATGACCTTTGTTCAAACCCACAAAGATACCAGAATTTGGCTGTTTTGGAGCCATTGCCTGAATAGCACATTGATTAAACTTATCAACAAATGTGCATAATCATTAGTGTGTTAGCTGATTAACCGGCATGAAAAAAAATTACAAATGCTATATACAAATCATAAGTAGACCAATATTGGCACAAAAAAACAAGCCATGGAATGTTATGAATAATCATCAACAAAGGCAAGAAGCCCCATGACTTAATTACACTCTATGTTACCCGGACTCTTCTATTTAGGAAGAATACCCGTGTCATGTTGTGTCGACACTGGTGTGGGTATGAGTGTCGGGTGTGGCATTTTAGCCCAAAATCTTCAAGATTTCTAAACTATTGACGAGTCGGATGCTCATATCTCCACACCCGATACGCCACCCATATCCGAGTCCAGGTAGCATAGATTACACTATAAGTCTATAACTAGACAATGCATTCATGACCAAGATAATACAAAACAATTCGCCATACAACTCTCTTAATACACGAGGAAGAAGAACGGCCATTTCTTAGTATCACCAATGCAATATCTACAAATGTTTGGATCTTCAACCTTTGTGAAAACAAGGCAAATTCAAGACTCCTGTGTTTCTCTAAAATACCCCACAAGTAAAACTGTAAAAGTATCCACAAGACATAAAATTACTGAGACACATTCATCACTTAAACAAGTTTACTATTTCATAACCACATCTAAAACTTTGGTACATTGTTCTCAATGACAAGGAAAATAAAAACTCCATGTTTTCACCTGATACTTCGCTCCTTTCTAACACTGCATAACCAAAATAAGCCATCTCCACCAAATTCAACACACACACACACACACACACACACACATAAAGGGAGATAAAATCTAGCGATAGATTTTACAGCTATTGCATCAGCTTCTAAAATGCAGATCACAAGAAAAATCAAACAGCTCAAATCAAAATTCGCGATCGATTAGTACAGTTCGACCACAAATCGAAAGATACTGCTCAAACAACTAAATATGCATCAAAATCACATCTAAAACAGAACGAATTCAAACATCCAGCAATCGATCGCGAAGAATGGATAGACAATCATGTGATAATGCAGTGAAGAAGTTACGGTTCAATCGGGCGGCGAAGATTTACCTGCGCTGCGGAGATGATGAGGCTGCGCAAATGGAGTAGGTCTAGGGTTTT